AACTGAAAGGCCTCTTGTTCTGTGTGTTCTGGGAGATTCTGATATTTCTATGAGTTCTGCATAAAATATAACTGTGGTTTCTGTAGGATCACTGTGTTTAGGAAATCTTGGTGCCAAGTCCTTCTCTACAGAGCTTACTAAATGAAATGATTAAAGCTGCATACAAGACATTTGTTCATGATTTATTGTCTGACATATTTTGTTTAGATTTCCAGTATGTTAAATTCAGCAAATAACTGTGCATTAAAATGTGCAGAGGTTTTTCCCTGTAGAGGATGTGTTAACTTTTTTTCACTTAGAAAATCAACAAAACATGCAATTTGACCGGGGGCCTCCAAACCTTTTTATACTTTGCCATGCTTTGGGTGTTTGCTGTACATTAAGGCATTGTTCTAATTGAAATCAGTGGCAAGAGGTGCATTTTTGACAGGTTTACTGAACGCAGCCTAAATCTTTCAAAAGGCAGCCTATGATATTAACTAATATTGCACTGTGCCATGGGAGTCAATAATTCAGTTGTGAATATTATTATGATAATATTATTGTGATATCTCTGTTATAAAGTATCGATTTATTGGATAAAACAGGGAGGCCACTTGTTCTGTTTGTTCTGAGAAGTTTTGAGATTTGTATGAGCTTTGTGTAAAACATAACCAAGGTTTCTATAGGATCCTACTCTATAAGGCTTGCTTACAATTAAAAATTCAGAACAACTGAAGCCGCATACAAGGTATTTTGGTATTTTCCATTGTTCCACGTTGCTGGTTTGTTGTAGATGTGCTTGTGGGCAGAGATTTTTTTTGATCCCTCAGTAAAACAGCAGCACCTTGGGAATGCCTTTAAACTTCTGCTGGTGTCACGTCTGTTCAGGTACCTTCAAAGGAAACACAGAAGCTAGATATCAACATGCTTCTCCACTCAAGACCTGTGCTCTCTCTACTGGCTAGCAGTAAATCATAATGTAATGTCAATCATAATAGTATGAACTCAAGTCTTCATAGCATACATCAGGTCAGTTACTTAGTTACTGCATTAAATAGTAATTGAAGACAAAAAAAAGATATTTTAGTGTGAAACTAAGGAAAACATAATGTGCATAATTGACAGCTCTAGATGTGAGCTAAAGGTGTGATAATTTCTCCTGCATCTTTTGTTGATTTTCTAAGTGAAAATAAGTTAACACATTCTCTACAGGGAACAAACATGAATTAGAGTGCAATTTCTATTTATTTGCTAAAAAAAACCATCAAATCTGAAATATGCCATAACTTTTGCATGTCATATTAATTCCCAGTATGTTAAATTAAGCAAATGAACAGTAATTTTGTATTAAACTGTGCAGAAATGTGTTCTCTGTAGAGGGTTTGTAACTACTTTTTCATTTCCACTCAAAAAATCAACGAAACATGTAAATTGATCAGTGGTGCCCAGTCGTTTACATACCCCTGTACATTTTTTTGCATTGCCTTGCGTTGGTGTACGTTGTCCATCGGTTTAATATTATCATTAAAATCAATGGTAAGAGGTACATTTTTGATGGCTACCAAGATGTTTTCTGAAGGCAGCCTAAATCTTTCAAAAGGCAGCTTATGATATTAACTATTATTGCAGGGTGCAGTGTTAGTCAATAATTCAATTATGATTCACCAGCTGTGAGCAGATGTCAGTGGAAATGGGCCTATCCCTGTTACAAAATGTCAATATATTGGATAAAACAGGGAGGTGGTAATCAGTAACAAGATTTCCAATGATTTCACCCATCTCATTAGAGTTGCTCATTTAGCTCTGCTGAAAGGCTGTCTGGCGTCTTCTCTCTCTCTCTCTCTCTCTCTCTCTCTCTCTCATATCCTGTCACATCCTCACTCTCTGTTTCTCTCATTCATCTCTTTAGACCAGCAGTATTGCCATCTTTTGCCCCTTCACCTCTGACCTCTGACTTCACAGTGAGACGAGGTGCTAATTAACTTCCTTCTCTCAGACACAGAGTCTCGCTGGGCTAAATACTTCAGCATATAATATTCATCTCTAAACACGAGAACCCAGCTTTCAGCCACAGGAGGCCCAGTGACTGATCCCAGCGTATATAAAAGGGATTCAAAGCTGGGGGATGCATAATGATACTTAGAAGTTTGAATCTTCATGAATGTGTAAAACCTTGTTGTGTTGTGGTTATTTATTAGAGACCCCCTGCGGTGGTATTTTTTTGGACCTATAAGGGTTGAGCCACGCTGTAATGTAGAGATGCTCCAGGCAAAAAAGGCTTTTCAGCTGTTTCAGATATATAGTTAATGAGAAAACTGTGGAAAAGGGCAGTAGCTGGTTTCAGCCTCGCATAAATGTGGAATTTGGTAATTTCATTAACTATAGTATATTTATATACCTTGCTCTTTATAGCCACAGATAACCTTTTGCTTGCAAGTCCAAATGAACCCAGATTTATTACAGATTAGCCAGCCCAAAGGTCAGATTAGCATCAGTCAACATTCATTCCACTAGCCGCTAACCACTGCCTGGCTGGCGCACTCTGTTTGTGCGAGTGACTAACTGCAGAAAGTGTAAGGCAGTTGAGTTAAGCGTGATGTGAATGGCACATTCACTTATGAGTGACTACTAAAAACATTGATTATTCGAATGTAAGTGCTGGATGAGTGACAAAGGCTGCTTCTTCAGATAAGCTAATGAGGTAATAGAGCTAACAGGTGTTACACTGAACACTGTTGAGGACTCTTCTTCTACACAACTATGCAGGTTTTTTATCCTCAGTGTACGATGTGCCAACATGTTACTTATTTCCACCAATTCCGGACCTAGCTAGCATCAGCCAGTGTAGCTGGCTGAGTTAGGGACACAGCCAGGCTGTCTCTGCCTTTCAAACACTCATGTTTCGGAGTAGCAAAGTATAACATAACGTACTTACTTACAAATACAAGCAAAACCGTTGCATTTCACTGAATTGTTGGCCTGTTTATTTTTTCCGTCTTCCTGCAATGAAACATAATAAATATCCGAGTAGTAATTTCAGTATTCGAATAGTGACACTTCAGACAGTCCTCGACTGCCCATGCACATCCCTAGTACAAACACTACTCAAGAGATTTTACAAAACAAAGAAAACAGTCTTTAGATCATGTCATTAAAAAAGTGTAATTCTTGTTTTTCCACAGTCTTCGATCAAATCATATTGTGATGTCAAACCACAGGCCATGCTGCTGTGAAGCGTTTAGTGGGCGTGGCCATGCAAAATGGTTCTGGGGGTTACCACGCTTCCGGTTTAGAAAGGGACTGTTGTTTTGTTGCTGTAGGTCCTAGTATTGATGTTGTTTTTTGTGTAGTTGTGTTGCTTGGTGTAAATTGTGTCCGAGGACAGTGAGCTTTGCAATGAGCTGGTGGTTAGAAGTGTCTACCCTCCTCGAATATCGTGTCCTCTCACATTACCCACTCCTTGTGTTTTGTGTTAGGTTTGGTGCTGGGCTGGTTATTTCTGGTCTTTGTGAAGACGTTGTTTTTTGTGTCTTCTTCTGTACCCACACGGCAATATTTAGCCTACCTCTAAAATGTTTTCTGATTTGTGGCTGTGTCACCAAGGCTGAGCTTACAGAGAAGAACAGTAGTATGCAGTAATATGTTTTGTCTTCACCTCTTGGTACATAAAGTGAATATGATGAGCTAGCACAGAGACCCTCCCCGATGGTGTGTTTCACTCAGAAAAAACACCACAGTATGGAAGGAAAATGCATAATTTTTTTCCCATTCATGTTAATTTTAAAGAAAAAACACATGAAGTCAGAATTAAGAACACCACCTAGGGGTGTTCATAATTGCATACTCAATCTGAAGAACATAATTGGCTCAATTTTAGAATATTATTCTCTTTAACAGTTAGCTTTAGAGGAACCCAGTGCCTGTCCTTAGACTTAGCATCCGTGCTAATGCATTTTATTTAGGTTTTTCATTATCAGAACCCAGTCATCCATAAAAGATCATCTTGAAGCTTTTAATATTAGGGTATAAAGAAATCTCATTGTACAATCTTATGATGATCTTTGTGCTCTAATTCTTTTGAGAAATGTATCACAGAGCTCTGGAATCAGTAGCTGTTCCTCCAAGCTGACAGAGTGGATGTGTAAAGAGAAGCGCAGAGGCCTACTTGACCTTTAAGGATCTAAATTATTAAATAGCAAACATGGCCACTGCAGTAGCATGGCAGGGTTATATTTTCTTTTCTGCTGAAAGCACTATAGGCCCTCTGTTCCTCTGGCTGCAGTGCTTTAGAATATTGGACATGATTGAGTGAGACACGTTGAAGAAAGCACCTATGATGGAACACACTTGTGATGTCTGAGAGTCCGCAAAAGGGGGGAAGATGAAAGAGGAGCTCGCGCAGGGAGATTGGGTTGTAGACTGGAGTAGCCCACTGCACCTGATTGAATACGGTTGCGGATCGTGTTGGCCATTGTTCACGCGAATGAGAGTGGAGTCTGAAATTGAAATTGGCTTTATACCTCCGAAGAAGGACTGCTGCATTTTAAAAATAAAATCTTTTGATATACACATATTAATTTATGAGTTAGCTTTTGACAGTTAGATGTCTTGTTATACATTTTCATTGCATAATTATTTTGTAATTGATTGTTTTTGAATAATAAATTACATGTTGAATTATTTGTACATTTAATTTACATTCTCTATTGACATGTTTGTTTTAATGTGAAAAAATGACAAAAACATGGCAAAAATGGAAGGGGTGGCTGTTCTTTTGCAAAACAAAACTGTACACACAACAATAACTTAATTCAAGTCATAACAAGACTTTGTCGTCTTCTACTTACAAGCGCAAATATGTTGTTGAGTGAAAGTTTGCTTCCGCACTTTTCTTGGCTTGCTTCACTAAGCTGCAAGTGAAAAATAATTAGGCAAAATGTAAGAAGAGGGTTTCGTGGTGCCATGCTGTGGGGTGATATTCTCACTCTCTCTTTCTTTTTTCCCTCTGTCTTTCTCAGTGTGTATCAGGTGGTCGTGGAGGAGGAGAGGCCCAGGAGAGCACGTGGTGGGGAGGCAGAAATCCTCCGTTGTTACCCTGTCCCCGTCCACTACCAGAACGCCACATCTCTCAACTCTAAGTACTACTTCACGGCTGAGTTCCCTTCTGGCGGCATCCCCTCCCCTCAGCCTTTCACTGTGGGGGACAATAAAACCTACAGCGGCTTCTGGAATGCACCCCTGCTACCCCACAAGAGCTACAGCGTCTACTACCAGGCTGTCAGCACTGCTAATGGGGTGGGTACTGCACTGGCAGAAGTTTCCACTGCTAATAGAAAAAGCTTTACAGAACGTTGGCAAAAATCCTGTTTATCCAAGTAAGAAACTGTAGCATGCTCAGTTTTTGTCAAAATGCCAAAAATTAAGGAGCATCATTAATTTCAAATGATTTTTATTTGGACGTGATGTTAGTAGGGTATCGGTATGTGTGTTTTTTTTTATGTAATTGAGATTTTTAGGGCTAAACATCTTATTAATAAGATAAACAGAAAGTTTTCCAACTTCAGCTGTTTAATGTCACTAGCTGTGGCTTTTCTCACACCTGGCATTGACATGAGTCTTGTGTGATCCAATCATAATTGGCTCACTACAGATGTGAACGTGATCCAGTACATCTCAGAGAAACTGATCCATCCAATCACTCAAAACCCTTCAGAGGTGGTCAGGGACACATATGACCACATAACATTAGTAGTGTGAACTTCAAAACCCTGATATGTACCTGACAGCAACAAAAAGACCACCTAATCAACTGGGTTATTACAGCAGAGATGAAAGCAGCTGCGTAGCTTCTTTTTCATCTCCTCTGTCATTTATTTATAAGTTGCGTTAGCAATCCATACATGTAAGTGAACGTGGGACAAATGTGGCGCGAGACTTGTAATAAGTGTGTGTGGCACCTTTTCTCCAGTCATGAAACCCGATCACAGGTGGTCACTAGAGAGGCATTTCGAGACTCATTGAAATGCCATGTGTAAACAGCTATACATCTCGCTGTCCATTTGTGATCAGATTGCTCAAGACAGAGTTGAACAGGGCCAAGGGTAAGATAATGTCATAGCTAGTGTCGTGGCTGAAGTTGATATGCCATTTTCATGTTTTAACAGAACTGAATAACATGAAAGTCTTTCTCATTTTTGCTAGTGAGCATTTTATACATTGCTACACCAAAATGCGAGTGCCTTAACATGAGACCGAGATAGCTTGGTTTTTATTTTATTGGTTGCTAAATAGGCTGTTATTTTGATTGGTTACCTATACTTTTATTTCAACAGCATCATCTCTCACACATACAAAATAAACATCATTTAAAATGAATAACACTCTAAATGTAAAGATTTGTGTTGTGTGCAACAAGAGTTGTGTGCAACAGTTTCTCACCTACATCATCACAGCAGTTGCTATGAAAGAATATATTTGTGGACAGAGCAGGTTATTTGCTTGAGGGGCCAGCATTGGCCTGATATTTCACATCTAAAAGAAAATAAAGAAGTACAATAACAGTGTCAGCATGTGAAGCGTGATAACAGCAAAGAAAGTCCAAAACTGTATTCGCAGGCACACACACACAGGCAAACTCACACGCAAAATGTAGGAGGCGGCCCATTTTAGCTCTCTGTGTGTGTTACAAAGCAGCTCTCCACTTTGCTCCTGTTAGAGCTGAAAGCAAGGACGTTATTGTGGACATGAATAAGCATGACCAGTTAAGGCCCTCCTGCCAGACCCTTCAATCACACTGGGCAATTTTTTAAAGCCGCAGAAACGCAACACTGGGCAAAAGGTTTTCAGTGTTCGCTGAGGAAGGAAAAAGCACTTTGGCCGTGACAGCAAAAGTTTCTGCCGGAGAGTGATTGTGTGAGTGACATGGCCACATTGTGCAGAGTGCACCTGCCTGAAAAGCGCCGCACACATGCACCCACACCCATCGGACACATTAACACACTTCTGTTTAATGCATTGCTGACTTTCTCCCTCTATCTTTCGCTCCCTCTTTCTTTCTGTCTCTGTATTCCTCTCTCTCTCTCCCTGGTGCTTTTAAAGAAAGCTGCTGTTTAGACTGACAGCAGTGACACAACGCTTTTTCTTTAAAAGGCCCCTCTATCTCTCAGTCAGCGGGCGAGCGAGAGCTCGTCTCCTAATTGACTGAAGACCTGTGTTTTAGTGCTACTGATGAATGCTGACGGGCACTTAGCCAGGCAGCCTTGTGTCTGTCTATTCAAGACTGATAATTAATCAAAGCCCACACTCCTAATGTCCTTCCTTTTAGTTGGGACTGGAGAAAAGACTACGCGTGACACAAAATGTGCTATCTCATTGAATAACTAAGCAAATGCTCATGTTTATATTGTATTGTAATGAATTGTAATGTATCGAGCAAGCAGGTTTGGTCTTAGGGCAGCAGAGAGCTGAGTTTTAGATCCCTTCATGAATTAATCATAACACTATTAATTATATCGCGAAAACTCTACAAGTCTATTTCAGTGCTTTACTCAGTCTGTAAACAATTGATAAAAGGAGGAATAGTTTGGCCAATGAAGCTAATGTTGTAAAGAGTGAATGGTGGGGCTGCACGATATGGACATAAAATGCAATGTTCGATATAGCGGTTGGGGTGATAAATTGTGATTAAATAAATTGTATCTCTGACTGGGACAAGTGAATACTTTTTGCTGTGTAAACAGACTAATGAACCCATCCAATCCTCAAAAAAATTCAAATTTGCAAAAGCACTGTTTACTACTGTGCAAAATACAGAATAAAAATAATGAAATACTAATAGAGAACATCACAGTTGCAAGCACATGTTTGTGCACTGTTAGAAAAATGGTCAGCATTCCCTGAACAGCTCTTTATATATAGGCCTAGAACAGTAAAGCAATAAATATTTATTTTCTGTATGAATCATTTTACTGAATTGATTTAGAGTTAAAAACACATTTAGGACTTTCAAGTGACTTAGACTTTAGACTAAAATCCTTTTGCTTTGAGTGACTGTATACCTTAATTATGTTTATTTTATTAAAACAAATGATTGAACATTCCATTTTGTTACTACCAAAACAATCATGTGACTACTGAAACTTTACCAAATGTTTCAGCAATGACTGTTTCAGTTATGATGTTTTTTCTTTTTATTTTTTTAAGCAGAACTCAAAAACACTAGCCTGTACATGACTAGAAAACACAGCTTTGAACAGTTGTACACACATAAAATCATATTTTTCATTAAAAATCAAAAAAGTTTACCTAATTGCATAAAATGTGTGTTTTGGTAGTAACAGTTCTTAATGTTACACACTGATTTTCAGACTTTGGGACACATTTGCTTCAGAACAATGGGATCTAACTGCTCACCATGTGGCCATAAGGGACAGTCTTTCTCTGAAATGTGACTAAAATAAGGCTCCACCTATGGACTAAAACTGTTTTTTTTTTTTAATTAAACTCCTGATATACCTTAATTTTTCAACATCTCTGTTTTTTAATGGTTTTTTTTTGCTGTGGGACCACAGTAGCTATTACTGTTTCACACATTTTACAACTATATGCGTGAAAACAATCATCACGTTTAAAACATTTTTACAGGCTGGTAGTTAAAGATGCAGTAGTTTTTGAGCTGTGTCCCTCTTTATAGCAGAGTGGTTAAGTCACTTGCCCTTGCTAATGTTTACGATTTGAGTTCATACATCAATTTACAGTCTCTGGCCACTTTATTAGAAACTCATTGTAGCACAACCTTTCTGGTACATTTAGACTGTTGATAAGCGATTTGTGTTAGCTGTCTCTAGCCTGTCATCAGTGGTCACTTTCTGACCACTGCATTTCATTGGATACTTTTGGGTGGAGGACCATTCTCAGCCTACCAGCGCCACACACTACCTTGTACTGAGTACTGGTCCATCACCCAAATTATATCTGGTAAGCAGTGATCCTGTGGTCAGAAACTAATGATGGACAGTGTAGAGGCGTTTGACAAATTGTGCAACAGAAGGACAGCAGTCTATAATCGTGCACCTGTGTAGTGAACTATAATGTAGGTAGAGTGAGCAGCATAAAGCTAGTGTTATAAAGTATAAAATTATTGTTTCTAATAAAGTGGACAGTGGATGTATGATAGCATTTATAATAAGCTAGTATTGCTAGCACAATAGCCACTGCACACTGTAATGACTCAGAACACGTTGTTTAGTGCATGAGCCGGCAGTTGTTATTGTGGGAGCAAACAAGAATCAGTTCAATTACTGTACGGAAATCAGCAGACGCTGCATGCGATGGCTGACCACAATCTGATGCATTTCTGTTCTTTCTTTGCAGGAGACTAAAATAGACTGTGTGCGAGTTGCCACCAAAGGTGAGACCTCTACATCTGATTGGTTTGCTGAGGTAGAATGAGATGTTTTACAAGCATAATAGCCTCTTACTGTGTGCACTGATATTAACAGGTTGATTAAGACTAATTTTGTAGTGCTTGTGATTTTTGATGGAAGTAATGTTCTTTTCTACTGTGTTACTGTTATGAAATTTTTCAACTTGACTCTTAACTGCTTACACACTCTGGTTCTCTCCTTTTCTCTTTCTCTCTCACTTCTCTTTTCTACTCATTTCTGCTCTCTCTTTATCTTCAATGCTTTATTCTTTTCTATACTTGTTTTACTCTCTTTTACAATCACTTTCTCTCTCTCTCTCTCTCTCTCTCTCTCTTTCTCTGTCCCTCCCTCCCTCCCTCTGTCATTCACTGCCCTTTTCCCTCTCTCTCCTTTGTCTGTCTCTTTCATTCTCTCTCTCTTTTTTTTCTGTCTTTCTCTCTCATTCACTCTCTTTCTCTTACCTCTTTGTTGTCTTTTTATCTCTGCCCTTTTTCCTGGCTCTCTTTTTCTTTTCTTCTCTTTTTCTCTCTCTCTTCCTCTCCTACCTCTGGGTCTACTTTTCTATATCTCTCTTTCTTTCTCTCTCTCTCTCACTCTCTTCTTCTTTCCTCTCTGTCTTTCTCTTTCTCTCTTTTTTGTCTCCCTCTTTGCCCCTTCGTTCATGTCTCTGCATGTCTCTCTCTCTCTCTCTTTCTGTCTCTGTCTCTCTCTCTCTCACACACACACACACACACACACACACACACACACACACACACATACACTCTTCGTCCTCTCTGTATGTCTTTCTCTCCTTCCTCTCGTATACTTTCCTTTCATTACCACTTTCTTCTTTCTTTCTTCTCCCCCTTTTCTGTATATTTATCTCTCACTCTTCTGTTTTTCTCTCACTGTCTCGCTGTCCTTCCTCTCTGTATGTCTCTTTCTCTCTCTTTCTCTATCCCCCTCTCTGTTTCTATCTCTCTGTTTCTCTCTCTCTCTCTCTCTCTCTCTCTCTCTCTCTCTCTCTGCTCTCTCTCGCTCTCTCTCTTTCCCTGCATGCTGTTATGGATCTCGCTCTGTCAGCCGCTATTCTAGTGACGCAGCTCACTACCCCCTACATCCGCATCGCTCCGGCTGCAGGCGACAACCAACTAACAGGTCAGACACTTACCCTGCCAAGACTGTCTCTATCCATCCGCTTCCATTACTACCGCCATCACCGCCCATCAGAGGGACCCAGAGAGTGTGTGTGGGTGTACATGTGTGGGTGTGTGTGTGTGTGTGTGTGTGGTGTGTGTGTGTGTGTGCACAAATACACAGATCTGCACAATATACACACTTAGTGCACTACAGCACTGATGCAATTCCTACTTCTGTGTCTGCAGTCAGAAAAGTGTGTAAAAAAACAAGCGCACATACACAAACTCCCACAACATATTCTGTATGTGACAGCGTCTCACGCTCACACACTCAGCGCACATGCTTCCATAAACTCTCCACTCATATCTGGCATGCTTGTTACGCATCCCTGCTTGCAGGACATCCGTATGTAAACAAACACAGCCACACATACAAAAAACGTTCACTAACAGGGTGTCTAGTGTTAAATCTCCGCGTGATTGGAGAGGAGTGGATATAAACCTGCAGAAAAAACACACACACAAAAAGGCACACAAACACACATATACACACTCACACCCACACACAGTCGAGCAGAATGTTCTATTTCTCTCATTTGTCATCCTAAACTCACTGTCAGAGGAAACCGCTCTATTCACAGGTGGCTGAGCTGACATGGCTCCTCATTACAGCATAAACACTCACCCTCACACACACACACACACACACACATACACACACACACATACACACACATTGGGACACTCTTATCTACAGGGGGAGGAGAGGCATTGTTGGGCCTATCACATTGCCTCCCTGAGGCTATCTCTCCCTGGCAGGTAGCAAGGAACACATAGCTCCAGCATTATCAACCACTGTTGCCTGATGGTTCCTACAAATAAATAGCCCAAAAGTCTCAATGGAATTGCAATACTTTACATTCAAGGTTAAATAAAGTTTATATCTTGGCAACGCTTTAAAACAGTAATGCCAACATTGTACTGCGTTATACGTGAACGGTGTACAAATGTTCATTTCACACTGTTTCTGCGCTTCTTTTTTAAAGGTCATCTACTGGTTTGCAAACCTGCTATTATTGCTAAGCTTTGAGTATTTAGACCTTTCTCTGCCAAGCTAAGTTAAAACCAACAGTATGTCTGCTTAGTTGAAAAAGTAGTGATTCAAATGTGTACTTCAGTTACCAATAAATCACATCAACAATTAGTCATTAACTTTTATTTCCAAAAACAAGTAAACCAGTGGTTTCCTATTTCAGTCCTAGAGAGCCCAAAATGTGCACATGTTTGTTCTGTGGCCAGGTTTGAGCCTACTACATACTACTTGCGTACTTATTGTACCCAAAAGTAGTAAGTAGTATGCAGTATGTGACTTACATAAATTTCTCCAGTATGCCAAAGACACCCAAATGACATACTACTCTGGCCAGATATTTCAGAGCTATCCTTGTAATATACTATGGTCAGGAGGACATAACCACTGATGTAACTGCCTGATAAGCATGTAATAGCCCTGGATTCAGCCTTATGTAGATACATAAATGATGACAAAACAATTTGTCCAAATGCTACTGCACTCAGTGCAAAGCTGAAGCCCCATCAACTGCTGGTCTTGAGGTGGGTTTGCTTATTTCTGTTAATACATTTAATATGGTGAAAACATTAGCCTCCTAAAATTGGTCTCAGCCAAACAATCCACACAGCACTGGCTTATTATTCAGTCAAATTAGCTCATGTTACCAACTATGAATGCAATGAAAATGAAATGACTCACCTTTTAGCAAACATTGGAAAACATGGTGTTGAGTGTCTCTTAAAACTCACTCAGTCAGTCTCCTTCCCCATAGAATGCTGGCTAGAAGGCTGTCACTGATGAAGAGTAGCCTGCAGTATACAGTATATACTAGTGCAGTATATTGTACACAGTATGCTATTTTGAACACAGCGTTTGTCTCAGTTCATTATCTAAGTAACAAGTTCCTTGTGGGCTGGGTTAGGTGTGTAGAGAATGCAGAACATGGGGTAACCAGAACTGGGACTGGGAACTCCTGAGGTAAACTGAAAGACAGCAGTTGTGTTCATTCAATATATTTCATTCATGTGGAAATGTACACATTTGAATCATGACTAATTCCAGTGCATTTCCCAATTCTTCCTGATAAGTAAAGTGACTTTTCCTTTTTCGCTCTTGACCTTTTCAGGGGCGGCAACCCACAAGCCAAATGCAGTGGAGCCAGAGAAACAGACAGACCACACAGTGAAGATCGCTGGGGTCATCGCTGGCATTCTCCTTTTTGTCATCATCTTCCTTGGTGTGGTCCTGCTCATGAAGAAACGGTAAGCATTGCTAATAAAAAAACGGTAACACAGGAACAAACAGGTTTTGTTCGTATTACGTGTTCAAGTATAGTGGATGAAATAGAAAATCAAAGCAAGTTACAGCAAATCCCAGAAAAGGTCATCTTCTTTGACTCCTTAATCGGCAAAGACTTAATATTAATACCTCAAATACCTTAATTAATTAATAATTAATTAATACCTCATACCTTTCGTATTAGTTTCATAGGATTTACCAAGTAATTTATAGTAGTTTCCAAATAATATAGAGTATTGTGCACGAGTCTGAGACAGCCCTTCATGTATTTAATTTCCAGTCAAAATGGCCATCAACTACAAGCTATTCATTTTTCAGGAGATGTTTCTGAGATTAAATATAACATAATCCACTTGCATAAAGAAAAGAGAAAGAGAAAGTCAAAAGAAAACAAGTGGAAAAAAACAGTTTCCATCCAATCTGGAGTTTAAAAAATAATCGAAAGGTACAGAAAAAATGGGACTCGTAACAACCATGCATGACCTGGAAGGCCACCAAAATTATCACCATCAGATAAACAGAACTTAATGCTTTCATCTTTGAAAGAGAGGAGAAAACAAAGTTCCACTTTTCTTAAGATGATGTCAGATTTCCTCAAAAAAACCACAGGTGTTTATGCTTATCGTTCCATTGTGAGAAAACAACTCAAAGCTATGAGTGTGAAGGGATATTTAGTTGTCAAGAAGTCACAACTGAGAAAAGGAAATAAACAAAAAAATTCGCAAGAAGAAGCTGCTGGTGTGCACAAAACAATATAATGACCACCCCAGAGTCCAGACCTCAACATCACTGAATGTGTTTGGGGTTATTTGGGGTTATTATGCAGAAAATGCAACCAACTTCTAAGACTGAACTTGGGCGGTGTGGAAAGAAATACCTGCAGATTTCCCTGAAAGCAAGTTCATGAAGAACTGTAATAAAAGTTTTATAGTAGTTACTCAATAATTCATAGTAGTTGCTGAGTGTACATTGTAATAATACGATAATAAGTCTGGAGTTTAAGGAGTTAAGAAGATGTTCTCATGTACCTGGATGGCTTAACCAGCTGACGGCCCTGTAGATAGAAGTTTGGATCCCAGTTGTACCATCCATGACCAAGAGCCCTGATTACTGTATGTGCTTCATTGAATGAAACGTCAACGTAAATGATTGATCAGTGTAAACATCAGTGTAGCTGCCAGTCAGGGACTGTGCTGGATCATGTAGATAGAGTTGGAGCTTCATGTGCTTTAGAGGAACGCTTGTGCAAGTTAGATGGGGAACATAGAGGAACCAGCTGTGAAAATTCAGAGTAGATAAAACATCATCAGAGAAGAAAAAAAAGCATTCAGAAGTTGATCATGGCCTCTGTTCTCATGACTGTAGAGCTGCTAATCCACTTCCTCTTAATCACATTGATATGCAGTTCATGGGGAGTCCTGTTTTTCTAGACAAGCATCTAAAAGACTTACAAATCTTGGGGATCTTCTCAGTTCAACTTCAGCCATTAATAATAGATTTCCCTTCCAATTTCTTTTTGACCCCTGCTCCGCTGCATTGTCAGTGTGATGCTGAATAATTAATCTAATTATGTTGATAAGTCCTATTCAAACGAGTTTATAGCAGTGAGATGGAGAGACATGATGAAAAATTAACGCTGGGAGGCCATCTATCTGTCACCCTCAACCAAACTTGAAGTTTCAAAATCCTCAGGAATAAAAACAGAGGAGATCTTTGTGAGACCCCTCCACAGCAGAGAAAGAGCGAGAGACAATGATTTTGTGTGAAACGGTCGAGAGAGAGAAACAGAGGGAAAAGGGAGATGAGAGGGAAATGGTGATGAAAGCTGTGGAGCAGTGGAGTGATGGGTTAGCTGCAGGCTAGTTTACATTAGCTTGGTCCCCTACAGCCCTCTATCAGAACCCAGGGGCCTCTAGAGTCAGTCTGAGCAAATATTCAAGTCCTATTTCACACATGTACACGTACATACACTCTGCCAGCGCGTTTTGCATTTGTTCTAGATTAGCAGTTGTCTCTTAGTCACCCATCAGTAAAGGCTCAGAGGGGTTGCTGAATGGAAAAGACCTGCAGGGCTAATAACAGCTCCACATTACAATAAACCATACTACCCCCGTATCTCCAGTACTTCTACACTTTCATGTAAACATGGCAACACAGAACACCATTTCCAGCTGTGCAGTTTATTCAGAAATAATCAGGCCATGTCATATTTGTGCTTTAGATATGCCAAAATGAAGCATGGCTGGAACTCTGGAAATTTCCATTCAGGAAGCGCTTCCTATCCTGGTGAGGTCTGAGTGACGGGTTAAGGTTATGATCACTATGCATAGCCAGTTTAATTGAATCCCCTTTCAATATAGCTTAATCAAATGAACGGGCGCGATTGAATATGTTGGTTTAATTAGCCGGATTAGATTAGAAATGGAAGTGTGCTAGGGCATGCTAATCCTCATGTTAAATCTACCCTCGTGGTTCAGTTGATATTACCGTTCAAAATCTAGACCAGGACTCTTCGAAATGTTACTGCTGAAGCACATTATCTCCCATGATATACCTGTTCACAAACTGTCCAACGCAGAAGGCGCTGTGATTGAAAGCTTGTTAGGCCTATTGTTTGAAATGACCTGTCCAACCCCTGTTGCTGACAAATTAATACTTGCATCAATTCTTTTTCCTGTATCTGTGACTGGACTCAGGTACAAAAAAGATCCTTACAATTTCATAAGCACTGAAGTAGTATAGGTCATAGTTAAACAATGGTTATAACAGAGGTAGATTTCTTTATGTCAGTGAAGTCAAACTGTCTGGTCATTTTCAAATATTAATAAAAAATCTAAAAATATTGGTGTATCTTAACTGAAATAGGCAGCATTCATAGTGCTACATTAAACTTTCAAGACACTTGACATAAACCTACTTATTCTGACAAGTGTCAGTTATCAAGGCTACTTTTGTCAAATTTGACATCATTTCACCAAAACAAGTGTTATGAGAACTGACACTTGTTGGAATAAGTCTTATAAATGTCTACGTAAGTTGATGTCAGATGTCATGAAAGACTTATGTAGGTGTCTTGGAGTCCTATGAAGTCTGCCCTTCAATAAAGTGTTACCAAAAACATTTACATGTAGTTTGCCTTTCATATTCTATACATTCTCTTACTGCAACCCTGTATAGATCCTTCTTTCAGTTTCAACCAATGAAGAGCAAGCTTATTATTGAAACAGTCATTGTCATTAGATTTAATTGGAGTCTTGGCTTAATGAAATGGTTTGGCTCCATTGCATTTATGACGACTATGACATTTCTGTTTGGAAGTTTTTTTAAAGGAGTACTACATTACTCTCTATGTGTAGTACTACAAAGCCCTTCATCTGCCAGATCTGTATCACATGGCTAATTACCAAGGACAACAACTTAGCTTAGAAAAGAACAGAAAATCTGTTGAAAATAGATAGACTTATAGCAGAGGTCAGTGGGAAGGTGCTGAAGCAACTGTTTTTGGCTTCTATTTATAAGTGTTTAGAGCAATTTTTTTCTGTTGTTTTAAGTACGTTTAAGCAGTGTCTGTGGTAATCATGCATACAATATAAGGGTGGCAGATGGAGAATAGGGGGCAGATTTACTAAAAGAGATGCTAATTACCGACAGTCTGCTGACACTTTGTGTCCCAAACCTCACACTACAGCAGAAAATAATATGTAAAAAATACTACACCATCAAATTGTGACTCAATAGGTTGAAATAATGACTTATTTTCTTGAGATTTTATTAAGCCAAAATAATTACTCTTTGAGAAAGTGTGTGATCATTTCAGAATAATACATCATTGTTTTGAAAAAATAAGATGTTAATAAAAAATAAGATGTAAATTAAGACAAGTAATTTATTTTGACTTTCTGTTTCAAAACGTTCACTTTTGTTTTTTCAAGCTGAACATTTGGAATTCGTGTGATGTGAAATCCCTGTATAATGTCACTGTGCGTATCCTGCTCCATTAGGAGCTGTATGATTTTGACCTGTGGTGAGTGTGTCTTCTTAGTTGTGTTTAGTGCATCAAACCATGGCTGTGTTTCAGAAGCTGCAGTGCGACAAAGTAACAAAGTAATGAGTAGCTTTAGTAATTCAGGGATTCCAGAGCCATAAGAGTTTCAAAGTAGTTTGAGGATAAAACTATCAAATTATCATTTTAACAAAACTGCTCTTAAGACACTTTGATGAGTGAAATATAGTCACATTATTAAGAAATTGCAGTTAAAAACATTTCTTAAACAAAATGATTTGGTAAGATTTTTTATTTCCTTCAAGTTAACAATAACGACATGGTAGGCGTTCAGAATTTTTTTCTGTAAAAGTCGGATAATAAATAAATACAATGAGGCAAAAGCAGCAGTGGTGGCCATTTCATCTAATTGTAGGTGCTCAACAGCTGCTGCCCTCTTTAGCAAATCCCGACAGCCACTTTTTAACACCAAAACAGGGTTTGCAGTGGCTCAAAACCATCTTAGTAAATCTGCCCCTTAGTTAAAAAATGCTAGAGTATTACTATAATACTAATGGAAAGGCTTTCAAAGACAAGACGAGGTTTATTCTGTTACATGTACACAAGACTTTATAAGTATGAGATTCAGTACTGGTATCTGGGCACCTAACAGTTTTAATGAGCATGCCAGAGGCCCCCTTCCGCAATCACCGTACCTCTCTCGATCACGAGGCCGAACCTCTCTCTCTCTCTTTTTTCTCTCTCTTTCACACATGTATGCCACCATGTCTGCTTTTGTTCATCTTTATCTCTTTTTCAAACATTAATATTTTTTACTTTTTCTTTCCTTCCATTCCATCCCCCCCTCCACTGCTTATACCCCTCCACCACCTCACTCGGCAGAAGAACCTATCACTCCTACACTTATTACCTGTAAGTAAACACCTTTGTACAATGTTAGTGCATTTGCTCTTTCAAGCTAGACTTGTACTCTATTTCCTGCATGGTTAGACCTAGCTCTTCTACTATGGTCCTTCTAGAGACAGGCATTTTATAGCTTAAATTCAAACTTAGAACATAACCTTCAGAATAAGAAATAAATTGAATTTCAAATGATGAGTTGATGGGAGCTTGATTTGTGTAAAGCAGCTTAAAAAAAGCTAAATCAATATTACTGATGCCATTTTGAAATCTGATGTAGGCTGAATGATTTTTCTATCAGCTGGCTTGTCAAAGTCTGATACTGAAATGCCTGTCTTCTCACAATCGATGCTTCTACATTGAAAGGGGACCTTGATATCCCGCTAATTATTTTACATTTTCTCCATCTCTGTTCTGAATGATGAACTAACATGCAGTGCTAGTGAGGAAGCTAACCCTTTTGCTCTGCCTGTGATGGTGACTAGCGAGAGAAGTGGTGGTCTTTTCCTCTTTGTGGGAAGGTACCACCTTCTCAGTTCTCTCCGCCGGTCAGCACAAGCATTGGAAAAGCAGGAAATTTACCCCTCATCTCATTCCAGTCCCCAACATCCTCATCCTCACCTCTGACTGTTAATTTGCTTTTTATTTTCTCCATTGTTTATCATTTTGAGTTCATTTTTTTCCCTGCATGATTCATGTTAGATGCATGCTGATTGGACTCGTTTGCCCGTTGTGTAAATTGGTGATTGATGAATGGTTCCTTTGTTGTATACCATGCAGACTGCGTGTGACTGTAACTCTGAGAAAGCTGAGAAAAGAAGCTCAGTGCCAAAGAAACAGGAAGCAACCAAAAACTAGCTGAAACTCAGCACTCTTATTATGGCTGATAGAAAGGAGCTCGGAGGTTGTGAAGCCCACAGTGAGTGCGTGCCAATCACGGCGAAGCCTCAGCTTCTGTTTCCTCAGCTTCCTCCCAGGGCTTAGAGCCAGATTGACATGGCAGCCTCCTTTGGCCCAGCCAGCAGCGCAAGTGATTGACATGTGTACACTGCTAGGCGAGGCCGGGGACTGCCGGATAGGATGCGGTTAGGAGCCGTAACCGGTGGCAACGGGGCCGAGGTGCTCTTCTGGGCCCTGGGGTTTTGTCATGTCATCAATAAGCAGAGGGTAGGAGTGACACCCATGTCACCCATCCTGTCACCCAGTATATAGTGTATAGAGGCCATCTCCAAGGAGAGCATCAGCACACTTATAGCCTGACATGATGATGGAGGCCAAGGTCCAGCCAAAAAAAAAAAACGATAGCAAGTGCCTCAATAAAAACAGAAAAAAAGGGCCCCTACAAAAATCTGAGATATGGACATACATGTCCTTATATTTTGTAGGTGCTGTAAGAAAACATTGAACTTCCAAAGCAATATATTTATAAAAGAAATGCAAAATAATCTAAATATTCCATTAATATAAGATAAAAAAGTGGTCTTCAGAACATCAGTTGGTCTATTTGTTATTAAATATTCATGTACATATGTATGTACTCCACCATTCAAATATTTGGCTTAAAACCATGATAACCAGCTGTAGATGATTCTGTAATAACTGAATGTTGTAAATTATTGCCAATGAAGTTATAATAAAATTAAAATCTAAAATGCTTCAGATTTTAAAAGTGGTAATCAAATCTTGAGGCAGATAACTTTTCAAGATGTGACTGTAAATAGTTACAGTATACTATTTATCATTTAATAACTTCTTAGTGTTTCCAAGGATACACCTTAAAATACGTTATTATTGAATAAAATAACATAAATTGACACAGTATTCCAAACCTTTGAACAGTGGTGTATTTTAGCAATATGTATGAATTATTTATTTACACTTATTTACAAATGCAAATGCACATTAATGATACAAAGAAGAATAAATATTGTATTCTGTTCCAGATGATATAACAATAACATAGTCTGAACACCCATGTTAGTACACTGAGTTGAGTTGAGCTTTAAGCGTAATTGCACGCATATACAAATCAAAAATATATTGAAAAATCTACATATTGGAGAAAACAAAACCAACAAGATTTAAAATACACGTTTTTGTTTTACTGCTTTAAAAAAGTTGCATACTTATCACTGCATGTTCAAACATTATATGTTAAGACATTGATAATTCCCATGTATGCACTTACATAGCCTATTTAAGTAACAGCAAATTTTAAATTATAATTTTTTGGTTTGGGCAAGGAGAAGTGGCGTAAGAGAGAGAGAGAACAGGAGATAAAGAGAATAGCTGGAAAGAGAAGAAAGAGAAAGAACAAGTATAAATGGAAAAGAGAAAGAGATAAGGAGATGTCTCTAATGCCCTACTCCCACCCTGTCCTGTCTGATCTAATGGATCTTCTTAGTGTGTGTGTGGTGTGTGTTTGTGTGTGATAGTATTGGGAGTGATGAGGGAGGCTTTAATGTGGGAGTGTTTAGCAGACGCTGCCCACAGCTCGAACACCTTCATTCAAGGAACACGCCTAAAAACAGAGCCGCAGCACACAGCACACTAATTGGAACAAGCTGAGCACATTTGTTTCAACAACAGCCTGAACATCCTGAAGATGAGCAGAGAGAGAGAGAGAGAGAGAGAGAGAGAGAGAGAGAGAGAGAGAGAAAGCAAGTGGGAGACACAAAGAGGTAAGGATGGAAAAGACAGAGGAAAGAGAGAGAAAGTGAGATGAGAGACAAAGAGAGAAGATTGTTAGAGAAAGAGAGGGGGTGAGAAGGAGTGAGTGAGTGAGAGAGAGACAGTGAGAGGAAGAAAGAGTGTGGGAGAGAGGGAGAGAAAGAGTTGAGAGAGAGAAGGGGGAGAGAAGAGTGTGAGAGAAAGAAAGAAAGAGAGAGGGAGAGAAAGTGAGAGGTAGGTGAAAAGAGGAGAGAGAGACAGAGAGGATGGAACAAAGAAAAGAGAGAAGGTGAGGATGAAAGGGACAGAGTGTTTATAGAGAGCAAGAGAGAAGTGAGAGAAAGAAAGTGGATGAGAGATGAAGAGAGAAAGAGAAGTGAGAGGGAGTGGAGTGAGAGAAAAGAGAGGGATGAGAGAGAGATAGAGAAAGTAAGAAGGGTGAAAAAGAGAGAGAGATAGATAAAGAGAGTCAAATGAGAGAAAGAAAAGAGGGAGAAGGTTGAGAGAAAGAATGTGAGAAAGAGAGAAACAAATGTCAAACATGCCTAAACGTAGAACCACAACACCCAGCACACTAATCATCTCTCTGTCTCTTGGGCCTGGACTGTGTGCAGTGTGGCCGAGATCGGTCAGAGTGAACCGTCTCTTAGCTCTCCTTCTACAACAATTGACCTCTCCACACACACACACAGACCGAGTATCATCCAACACCCATGCACACATACTGCCAAAAGGCTAATTAGGGGAGAGTGTCATGAAGTAAAGCTGCAGTGTGCAGAGAGAAAGAAAGCGAGGGCGAGAGGGAGACAAAAGAGAAAAGTGGAAAGAGGAGAAGAGAGGTAGAAATAGGTTAAAGAGTGGGCGGATGAGTGATAGACATTGAAGAGACTATAAAGGAAAGTGAGAGACAGCTAGAGGTGGAACAAGAGAAAGAGCAAAGAGAGAGAGAGAAGAGAGTAAGGGGCAGAGGGAAAGGAGACGGAAGGAAAGAGAGAAGGAGAGAGAGAAGAGTGGGAGGGAGGGGAAGAGAGAGGACAGGAGGGAAAAAGGGGAGGGAGAAAGAGCGAGAGAGACGGAGAGAGAAAGGAGAAAACGGAGAGAAGGACAGAGAGAGATGTTGGGGAGAAAGAGGAAGAGATAGAGACAAAGAGAGGGGGATAGAGAGAGAGAGACAAGAGGAAGAGAGAGAATGAGAGAGTGGAGAGGAAGAGAGATAAAGGTGGTGGGGGGGGTGTCTAACCGAGTGCACACTTCACCACAGCAAATGGAATTAGTCAACTGTGGAGAGGACAGGTCTGAATATTGATTATGGAAGAGAGAGATAACTCTCATTCTTTCTCACTCATTCCCTGCCCCCCTCTCTGTCTCTCCATCTCTCTCTCTGTTCTTCTTCTCTTTCTCTCTGTCTCTCTTCCCACTCTGTCTCTCTTCCTCAGATGAATAACGACATATTGCGGCTCTCAGGGCCTGCCCTGCCAGGGTCTTTAAGCAGCCTCAGGACTTGCTCTTCATCCTACAGCCATTGTTTAGCAGTAGAATGCATGACTAAGCCCTTCACACCACTTTGTTTTCATGAACACGGAGAGAGTGTGCGTGTGTGTGTGTGTGTGTGTGTGTGTGTGTGTGTGTATGTGTTTGTGTGTTATGGGAATACCTATTAAATGATTCCTTTCATCAATGACTGTTAATGTTAACAAATGAATAATAGCGGTCATTAAGGTAAATCACCTTAATAGTGTTCAAGGTAAACTTCATTGTGTAGCAGTAGCTCACCAATAAAAATGCAGATTTTCCTTAAAAACAAGTTTCATGTACACGATTTCACTGATATTCTGAAGGCAGTAGATTAAAATATCAACCACAGTGTGAAAACACAAAAGTGTTTGTTAGAATGTCCTCAGCTCTTCATTGTGCCTACAACACTTAAATTGTCTATTAAAACAGAACAGATAGTGAAATGTAGATTTTCTCTATATAGTGGTCAAAGTTAAGGCGTTAATAATGCGTTAAAGCAATAAGTTAATGCAAATCACTTTCCACATTCTCCTAGTTTGACCCTTCAGACCATTAATAGTAGTGAAGGCTGAAGACTAGCTGCTTGCACACTGGTATGTAGTTGTGAAAGAATCTTCGATTGTAGTCCCTTCGTTTAAATACAGCTTTAGAGGGGATCAGTTTTTTTTGGAAATTGAGCCTGTTTTTGTGTGACGGGCTCCGGGCACCCTGAGTTGAAATAAAATTTAACTCAAAGTGGTCTAATAACCAACGTCACCAGCATGTTTTTCTGTGCTGACCACTGAGATCAAAACAAAGGTGGGCTGCAACCGTCACTAAGTATCCTC